CTCAATTTCTTGAATTAATTTCTCAATTTCTTGAGTTCATTTAATTTCTTGAATTAATTTTTAAATTCAATGGCTATATCATATTTTATTACCTATTGCATTATGTTACATGTTTAGGTAGTTTCTATTTTTTTATGACTTAAACACCTTTATTCCTAAAACTACACACACACACACACACACACACACACACACACACACACAAATTGTTTAGTTTTCTTAGAATTTATTCTTGGAACTAGATTCAGTCCATGAGAACATTACAAGCCAAATGCTTAATTATTTTCCAAAATAATTTTTTACTTCTTATTTTACTAGCAGAGCATATAATTACCCATCCGTTTAAACTATAATTAGATTTGGAAGTTTGTAATAGAAATTTAGAACCAACAGTCACTCAAGTACTTAATGTTGACAAAATTTCATATACAATATGCAAAAAGTCCTTTACAAAGTTCTGAAGTTCAGAGGAAGCAATACAGGGGGATATGGTGTCCTTTGAAATCATGAGACACCCAGCTTCTCTTTATGTTTCACCATGTTTCCATCCTCAAGGCCACAATACGATTGTTGAACTCTAACCATTGTACCCCCATTCCAGACAGTCAGAAGGAGAAATGGGGATACTGAGAGATAAATACATACTATCTGAGTTTCTTTCTTTTTTCTTTTTTTTTGAGATGGAGTCTTGCTCTGTCGCCAGGCTGGAGCACTGTGTTCCTTTGTCTATACAATACATGCAGCTACGGTTGTAGGTAGAAGATCAATATACAAAAATAAACTGTCTTTTTATACATGGCAATGGACTAAATGAAATGAAATGAAAATACTCAGAAATAAAGTTAACAAAAACTGCAAGAGTTACATATTGAAAACTACAGAACATCCTGAAAAAAAGTTTTAAAAATTGAAATAAATAGAAAGATATCTCCTGTTCCTGGATTGAAAAACCTAATATTGTTATGATAATAATCCCCAAATTGATGTACAAATTCAGAGCAATCTTTCAAATTCTCAGCTCTCTCTCTCTCTTTAAGGAAGAGCTGTGTAGTACTGGCATTAGGGTAAACATTTAGATCAGTAGTTAGTACTGAAAATTCAGAAATAAGCTCACATTTATGGTCAGTTGATTTTTGATCAGTGTGTGAAGATAGTTAAATGGGGGAAAGAAAAGTCTTTTCAATAAATGGTGCTGGTACAACTAGAGAATAAAATTGGATTCCTACCTCACACCATATACAAAAACTAACTAAAAATAAATTAAAGATCTAAATGTAAAAGCTCAAACTCTTTAAAAACACAGATGTAAAGCCAAAAGTGGTGGTGTATGCCTGTAGTCCCAGCTACTCAGGAGATGATCACTTGAAGCCAGGAGTTTAATGCTGCAGAGCACTTTGATGCTTGCGCCTGTGAAGAGCCACTGTACTCCAATCTAAGCAAAATGGCAAGACCTTGTCAAAAAGAAAGAAAGAAAGAAAGAAAGAAAGAAAGAAAGAAAGAAAGAAAGAAAAGAAAAGGAAAAAAGAAGAAAAAAATAAGAAAACATAGGTGTAAATCTTCGTGACTTTTGATTAGGCAATGGTTTCTTAGATATAATACTGAAAGCATTAACAACCCTGCCCACTAGCCCCAAAAGTCAAGTTGAACTTAATCAAAATAAACAATCTTGTGCTTCAAAGGGAGTTATTAAGAAAGCAAGGTCAGGTGTATGGCTCATGCCTGTAATTCCAGTGCTCTGGGAGATGGAGGCAGGAAGATAGCTTAAGGCCAGGAGTTCAAGTCCAGCCTGGATAATATAGCGAGGTCCTGTCCCTACAAGAAAACTAAAAAATTCACCAGGCAGGTGGCACACATGTCATCCTAGCTGCTCTGAAGGCTGGGGCAGGAGGACTGCATGAACCCAGGAGTTTGAGGCTGCAGTGAGCTTTGATGGCACCACTCTACTCCAATCTTGGTGACAGAGCAAGAACCTGTCTCTAGAAAAATAAAATAAAATAATAAAAGTTAAAAAAAGAAAGTGAGAAGACAATATACAGAATGGAAAAAATATTTGCAAATCATATATCTGATAAGAGTCTAGTGTCCAGAATATATAAAGAACTCTTACAACTCGACAGTAAGACATATAGCGCAATTTAAAAATAAGCACAGCATCTGAATGGATACTTCCCCACAGAAGATATGTAAATGACCAATAAAATGTGAAGATATTCATGATTAGCTCGTCAGGGAAATGTAAATCAAACCCTTAATGATATACCACTTCACAACCGCTATTTGATAGCTATAATAAAAAAAGAAAGATACTAACAAGCCTTAGTAAGAATGTGGAGAAATTGGAACCTTCATACACCGCTGGTGTGACTTTAAAATGGTGCAGCTGCTTTGGAAGGAAGTTTGAGAATTCCTTAAATCGTTGAACATAGAGTTACAATATGATCCAGTAATTCTACTCCTAGGTATATACCCAAGAGAAATGAAACATATGTTCACTCAGAAACCTGTACACAAATGTTTATAACAGTATTACTTATAACAGTCCCGACCCAGAGACAACACAAATGTTCATCAAATGATGAATGGAGAAACAAAATTAATATGTTCATACAGCGGAATATCACTCAGTCACAAAAAGGAACGAAGTACTGATAAATGGTTGAGCTTTGAACACATTATGGTAAGTGAAAGAAGCCAGTCTTAAAAGGCCATTTGTTGTGTGATTTCATTTGTATAATATATCTAAAGTAGGCAAATCCCTGGAGATTGAAAGTAGCTTATTGGTTGCCAGAGGCTTACAGTAGAGAGGGTGGAGGGTGACTGCTATTAGAGGTATGAAGTTTCTTTCTGGATCATGCAACTGTTCTGGAATCAGATAGTAGTGATGGTTGCATAACTTTGTGAATATGCTAAAAACCACTGGCTTTTACATTTTAAAAAGATAAATCTTATGGAATGTGAGTTATATCGGAATTCAGATACAGTAGACTCCCTTTATCCCTGGGAGACATGTTTCAAGATCCCCAGTGCATGCCTGAAACTCCAGATAGTACTGAACCCTATCAATGCTATGCTTTTTTCTATGCATACATACATACCTATGAGAAAGTTTAATTTATAAATTAGGCATAGTAAGAAATTAACAGCAATAATTTAATAATGAAAATAGAATATGATAAAAATATACTGTAACAAAAGTTATGTGAATGTAGTTTTCCTCTCTCAAAATATTGTATGTAATATTTCTGGACTGAGGTTGAATGTGGTTTAGAAATGAAACACAGAAAACTGTGTATAAGGAAAGAGTATTGTAAAAGCAAGTATCTAGCATCTAGGTGTTGTAAAAGGCATGTGGGAGCATTCTTTCCACGAGAAGCAGTCTTGTAATGCTCTATCCAATAGAGTCCCAATTTTATTTTAAAATGGCTTAGGAAAAATTAAAACTAGGATATAGTAAACAATGCTCACCTCTAGACTATTAATCATTTCATTTGCCCTTTTCACATTTATTCTTTATAATAGGCCAAGCTTACATTACATAATGTAAAGAAATAGGCAAATAAAAATAAAAACAAAACAATTCCTAAATGTCATCATGGCAGCTTTTGCTAGCTGGTGGGAAGGACAGTCGTAAGTGAATGTTTCACAGACCTTATTCCACTCACAGAGACAATTGGTGCACTAGAAATCCCTACCTAAAAATTCAAGTAGGCCTAAGTCTACACCTGTGAATTCAGTGTCTGCCAGTTTTCTTTGTGTGTAGTTAAGGGTAAAAATCAGGGATGAATGGGTCTTCTGTGTGAGCAGGAATTGTGATGGGCATTGTCTTTGTCACTAGCAAACCCATGGGCCATAGTTTGGAAGTTGGAGATTGAAGAAAGGAGAAGAAAAATGGCATGAGGTAATCATGTAAAGGTCTACTTTCAGGGTTTATTCTAGGATAAGTCTTTGTAGATTGTCAGAGCTGTTAGAAGATTTTTCCATTTAATGTGATTTAGTTTAGACAGTATGATCTTTAAGAACTGTTTGTCTTTCAGAAGTATGTGGGTGTGTGTTTTACCCACAGGGCACCAGAGTCAAGATCAGAAGATCTAAGTATATTCACAAAGAGAACGAGGAGTCATGTCTCTACTTGACCCTGGCAGAGGGACCTTGAAAATTTTGGGAACTGGGTCACCAAAGGCCACTGTGGATTCACTTGTAAGCCAGAGTGAATAGAAAATTCTGTAATTGTTTTTCTAGATGAAATTATTCAGATTTGAGAACTGGATTCCTTTTAGTTATTGTGTCCTGTGGATTGTTCTGGTTGTTGAGAGGAATTCTAGGGCAAGGCATGTCATTGTGGTGGTGAGGACGTTGGGGTTTAAGTGAATGAACATTCTCATTTGAAGAATTGAAATATGACTGTGCCTACGAGAGGAAAGGACTAGAGGAATCGTTCCAAGCCAGAAAAAGCCAGCCCAGGAACTGAGACATGCCCATGAGTGAAACTTTTAATTAATTAATTAATTAATTTTTATTGCATTTTAGGTTTTGGGGTACATGTGAAGAACATGCAAGATGAGTGAAACTTTGTAAGAGGGTGTCTTTATTCATTCGGACTCTGAACACAATTATATACAGACCATTCATGCTTTTGTCTTATTTTTTATTACTGAGTAGGTAATAAATACATCGAGTACAAAATCTAAAAGCTACACAAAGGGAATACCGTAAAAGGAAGCCTTCCTCGCTTCCCGCCTACTCCAGACACTGATTCTCCCCAGAAGCAATCACCGATACCAGCTCCATATGCATCTTTCCAGAGACATTTCCTCTCATCAACATCGAACCTTGAGTAGAGAATGTTCCACTCAACAGCCTTGTGTCAACCGTGCCATGAGGAACTACACTTGATCTTAGCCAAAAGGCTGAGAAGCGATGCCATGAGGAACTGAGGGGTGAGCCAATGGAGGAAAGTGCAGCCTTCCCAGCCTCTGCCCTTTTCTGGAGGCAGCTTGGTAGTCCCAGTATGATTTAGGGTGCCGGGCTGGTAGCTGTCTAGGAGTTTGAGGTGGTATCAAGTACCAGGGTAGAAGGGAAGCCTTCATCCTGCTTTTCTAAGAATGAAGCTGAGCCTCTTGGCATCACGTGGATCAAATCAGGACCACACTCACCATGAACACATACAATAAGGATTTTTAAGCTGTTATTTTTTCCTACAATTATTTTTTCCTACAACCTTTGGTTTCTGTTGGATCTCTCTGTGCCCTCCCACTCTTCCTTCACCTCTTTCTCTGGGTTCCACCTCCGCCCCTTTATTAGGTCAACATGTGTACTTCCTGCATTACTGTATCATTTGTCTTCATCCCAAGAAGTACGTAATTTTAATCGAAAAGAGAGTTCTCATTTAACGCTCTAATGACACAATTTTGTGACGATTTAAGGCAAGTCATTTAGCCTTTCTGAACTTTAATTCTCCCATCTGTAAAACTGATGACTACTTACATATTTTCCAGGCTTGCTAAGTAAAGCAATTATAAAACACTCGTCAATGTGAAAAATAATGTAGAAAGGTTCTGTTCTCCATGCTTCAAAAACCTTTGCTGCCAAGAAAGCTGCTTTAGGCATTGTGGGTGCTGTAGACTAGGAGCTCCAAGTTATGGTCTCAATGCAGAACATCCAGTCCTGGAGAAGACACACTATCGGAGAGTCTGCTGGTTTTACAAGAGAGGTGGAAGTCTAGAAGAACCTCTTTCTTCCAAAGAAAGAAAGAAAGAATGAAAGAAAGAAAGAGAGAAAGAGAGAGAGAGAAAGAAAGAAAGAAAGAAAGAAAGAGGGAAATAAAGAGAAAGTATAGCCATTATGGACAACAGTATGGAGGTTCCTTAGAAAATGAAAAGCAGCTTTTTCCAACTTGGGCCGGCAGAATGGTTCCCACAAAGAAGGCAGGCGAGAAGAAAAAGAGCCGTTCTACCATCAACGAGGTGGTGACCTGAGAACACAGCATCAGCATTCACAAGCACATCCATGGAGGGGGCTTCAAGAAGCGTGCCCCTCGGGAACTCAAAGAGATTTGGAAATTTGCCGTGAAGGAGATGGGAACGCCAGATGTGTGCATTGATACCAGGCTCAACAAAGCTGTCTGGGCCAAAGGAATAAGGAATGTCCCATACCGAATCCGTGTGCGGTTGTCCAGAAAACGTAATGAGGATGAAGGGTCACCAAAAAAGCTCTATACTTTGGTTACCTATGTACCTGTTACCACTTTCAAAAATCTATAGTCAATGTGGATGAGAACTAATCGCTGATCATCAAATACATCAAATACAGTTGCAAAAGTGCCTTAAAAAAAAAAAACTAAAACCAGAACTACCATATGATCTAGCAATTCCACTACCAGGTATATCCAAAGACAATGAAATCAATATGTCAAAGAGATATCTGTGCTCCCATGCTTAGGGCAGCACGATTTGCAATAACCGACATATGAAAACAACCGAAGTGGCCACCATGTATATAACTGATCTGGTTTGGACCTGTGTACCCATCCAAATCTCGTGTCAAATTGTACCCAGTGTTGGCGGTGGGGCCTGCTGGGAGGTGATTGGGTCATGGGGGCCGATTTCCCCCTTAATGTTGCTCTCGTGAAGTGAGAGCTCATGAGATTTGGTTGTTTGAGACCGCGGCACCTCCCCTATCTCACTTTTCCTTCTGCTCGAACCATGTAAGACATGACTGCTTCTCCTTCACCTTCCACCATGATTGTGAAGTTTCCTGAGGCCTCTCCAGCCACGCTTCCTGTGCAGCCTGCACAATTATAAGCCAATTAAACCTCTTTTCTTTAAAAATTACCCAGTCTCTGGTATCGAAAGCATGCAAGAATGGACTAACGCAATAATGGAATATTATTCGATCACGGAAAAGCATGAAATCCTGTCATTTGTGGCAATATGGATGAGCTTGGAGGACATTAAGTGAAAGAATCCAGGCACAGGCCAGGCGCGGTGGCTCACGCCTGTAATCCCAGCACTTTGGGAGGCCGAGGCGGGTGGATCACGAGGTCAAGAGATCGAGACCATCCTGGTCAACACGGTGAAACCCCGTCTCTACTAAAACCACAAAAAATCAGCTGGGCATGGTGGCGCGTGCCTGTAATCCCAGCTACTCAGGAGGCTGAGGCAGGAGAATTGCCTGAACCCAGGAGGCGGAGGTTGCGGTGAGCTGAGATCGTGCCATTGCACTCCAGCCTGGGTAACAACAGCGAAACTCCGTCTCAAAAAAAAAAAGAATCCAGGCACAGAAAGAGAAATACCACATGTTCTCATTCATCTGTAGAAGCTCACAAATTTGATCTCATGGAAGTAGAGAGTAGAATGTTGGTAACTAGAGGCTGGAAACTAGTGGCTGGGAGGGGAGACAGGGAGAGATCGATTAATAGGCATAAAATTATAGCTAGAAAAGAGGATTAGTTTCTAGTGTTCTATAGCACTATAGGGTGACAATGGTTAACAATAATTTATTGCATATTTTCAGCTAGCTGGAAGAGAGGATTTTTTTTTTGATGGACTTTTGCTCTTGTCGCCCAGGGTGGAGTGCAGTAGTGCAATCTCAGCTCACTGCAACCTCTGCCTCTTGGGTTCAAATGATTCTCCTGAGTCTGCCTCCTGAGGACTGGGATTACAGGTGCATGCCACCACGCCCAGCTAATTTTTGTATTTTTAGTAGAGATGGGTTTCACCATGTTGGTCAGGCTGGTTTCAAACTCCTGACTTCAGGTGATCCGCCAGCCTCAGCCTCCCAAAGTTCTACGATTCCAGGTGTGAGCCACAGTGACCGGCCTAGAAGAGAGGATTTTGAATGCCCCCAACATGGAGAAATAATCAATTTTGATGTGATGGATATGCTAATTACCCTGATTTGGTCATTACACATTGTATACGAGTATTGAAATATCAGTCACCACCCCATAAACATGTACAATTATTATATGTCAATTAAATATTAATGGGGGGAAAGAGCTGAGGCCTTGGGGAGCAGGCCACTGGGAGGAGCAGAGATACCTTGGGTGGCTGCTGGTGGACAGTGAGATTTGGGTCTGCTCTGAGGACAGATGTACAGCCGGGGATTCTGCACTGACACGGTGACATCAAATGACATACAATAGCCTGAGAACACCCTTCCTGGAGTAACTGTGGAAGGTTAAAATAAAGGAACGAAAGTGAAGGTCACATCTGTACGTTTGTAAATCACAATTTTATGTACTGCATAAATAACTTTTTATTGCTTTCTTTTTATTTCAAATGTCCTATAGTTAGTATGTTTGTATACTCAGAAAAAAGTGACTTAAAAATAATTTGAAAATGAAAGAAATATAACAGCCCTATACATAGAAATGGTAATACAATTATGGCACTTTAGGGATCATCTGAAAAGATAAAACGAAGATGAAAATCGATATGAAAAATGGTATAATGATGCCAAAAAACAACTGTGTGTACATATTGTATGACTAAAACTATGTAACATATGTACATAAAAACTAGAGGGGAACATATGAAAACATTGATAGCTGTGTTCTAAGTTTTAAAAATGAGCAGTTTTTAAAATTTTCTCCAATTTTTCAACCTTCTTTAAGATTGTTTTATTACTTCAAATCCTTACAAATATAATAAAAATAATGTAATATTTTTTTTTCTCAGGGCTCTGGGGGACAAAGCACAGCTAGGAATAAAACGAATCCAGAATACAAATTATTCACACGAATGCTGTGACTCTGGAGTGGTGGGATTTAGGGGTGGCTCCTACTAAGCAAAAGGAATGTGGGGCCATGGACGGAAGCTATAGAGTGTCCTCACTTCTTTCCTGGGGCCCCCGAGGATGAGATGGGCCTTGCGATCTTCAGAGAGTGAGCTATATCTTAAGAATTACTGGGATTCATGCTGCTCTCCAGATGTATTTACTTTGTATAATCCCTGAACCTTCAATAAACACTGGTTTAAACATACTGGCCTTGTTTCTGCTTGTTGAGGGCAAAAAGGGAAGATCCTTGTGGCCATGTGTGACTCCAAAGGGCCAGAATGTTGTGCAAGAGAATGGATGGTGAAATGGAGTCAAGGGCTCTGGACTCAGTTCTTCCCTCCCGAGTCAAGAGAGTGTGCTCCTGGTGAGGCTCTGGAAGCTTCAGTGCTTTATTGGAGCTCTGGCTGGAGGCATGTCCCATCAGCTGTCAGGTAAGGTAAAGTAGCAGGTGTAGGAGGCTCGGCCGCAGGAGAGTGAGTCTGTGGCTGTGGCCAAAGTTGCTAGCGTTGTGATTGCTAAGTGGCCAACTTTCATTAGCAGTCTTCAATTCCTTCCAGTTTTAAAATGACACTCAAGATGCTTAATCTCCTCTTAAAAAAGGAGCACTTTCAAGCTGTGGCTGAAGATTCCATATATCAGGATAGTCTCAGCAATGCCTTTTTTTTTTCACCCTCAGAACCAATCATTTGCTAAGTTGCTATGTCTTTAAAAATTGTGATCTACTCGCACTTCTTCATCACTGCCGCCACTGCCTGGGTGCCCCCCATGATTTTATGTCAAGATTATTCAACTCTCTGGGAATTATTCTGCTGCCTTTGTTCTTAGGAATCTCACTTCAAAATGACCAGAATGCTTTTAAACATAGATTTGACCACATTACTCCCATATTTAAACCTTTCGTGGCCCTTCATTGATTGTGGGATACAGTCCACCTTTCTTAGTCTGAAATTTTAGATGCTTTAAAATTTCTCCCCATCCACATTTCCAACCTCATTTTTTTTTTTTTAAACCACTGGTTATATGTTGTAACTACCCAATACTCCTTAAAAGTCCTTTTTTCTGACTATCTTTTTTCTTTCCTTACTTCCTTTTTTCTCTGTTCCCTCTTCATCTTATTTCTTAATACAAGGGCAACAGCGAAAATCTCCATAAACACTGGACATAAAAATGACAGAAAAGAAAAATTTACAATCTAATGACCTCAACAAATAATTTAATGTATTAGATAGTAGTCTATTATTTCTTATGCACATTCTAATTCTGGGTTCTAAACATTTTAATTGTTCTCCTTTGGAAGAAGCGGAGGTTCAGAGAAATCAAGACAAATTTTCCTCATTTTTTAATGTCACTTCTCATCTCTTGTTTTAATCACAGGTTAGGAGGTATCAAATTTAGTCCTTAAATGCAGAAAAGCAAAATACCGACTTTTCTTTCCTTTTCTCTGACTCCACATATCGGTTTCTGTTTCAAATTCCATTCCTGCCAAGCCTCCCCGCTTCTCCCCGAGTTGTATACAATCCTCACTGCCACCTAGCCACAGCGGCATTGGCTGAGACATCCTTCATCTTGATCGTTCCTCGGGTGCTGTTTAGTGCCAGCCACTGAAGAGAACCCCCTTGTTTCCACCCACGTGGCTCCATCTGGTTTGAGGGCCTCCTCTGTGCTATTTTGGGGTGTGACGAGCTCATTTTCCAACACCCATAGCATGCCAGGGCTGGGAACTCTGTATCCTCCCCACTACTGGCCCGCTCACCATTTTTTCTTAGGGTCTTGGTTCCTTCCCAAAGCTCAGCTTGTAGAGTGAAGCGCAGGCCCATCTCTCGGGTAGCTAATGGACCACTGGCCTCTTGGCTTCTCCAACTCGCCTTTTCCAATCTCTTTCGGGTTTGAGTCTTTTCAGTTCTCCTAAGGAGCTAGACTTTAAAGACGCAGAAATCTGAAAAGACTCCTTTTTGG